CGCTAGATTATTGATCTAATGAGGTGTTTCTATTTGAAGCTATTAAGTTATTGTACTTAAGCTCTTTTTTCCTTTTCTTAATAATGAAAATTGGGATACTATGAATTCTAGCAAGTGAAAGTATGTATGAAAAAACACTGATAATATTGGAATTAGTATTGATTTTTTAGGAAATAAAATACTTAAATTATATAGATTTATATTTTTATTAAAATTAAATGATAAAGGATTGAAAAATTTTTAATAATTATAAAAATTTGCTCTATTACATATATTAATAAAGATTGATAAACTCAATAATAAATTTAAATATTTTCCATTATCTAAACTTATACATAAATAAATTTATAACTCTTCATAATTTATAATCTTCTTATATTTGAATCCAACTCCCAACTTTTCTATTAATTTTGTAAAATCCTTAAAAAAACCTTTTTATAAACTCAAATATTATTAATAATATTTATTTCCTTAAATTGATTACTCAATTGAATAAATTGTCCTTTCTTTTAACCATAATAATCTTAAGATCCCACTCCAATAATTAAATTATTTATAAGTATTTATAGCATCTATTCATCAAACAGTAAATAAGTCCATCTACCTTTAAGCCATTTCCATACTTTCCTTATAAATTTACTTACCTATCATTATTTATATAAATGAAAAAAAATAAATAGATACTCTTAAAAATTATCGAATGAGATCTACCTCTCCAAATTTATTATCCATTTACCTATTTTTTTAAAGTAACCCTTTCAAGTGGATTTACTTTTCATCTTATGATAGTAATAGTTAAAAAAATCAAGAAAATTCTGATCTGGTTATATCGCTTTTCCATTTTTTTATAAGGATTAATTTTATGTTCCTCCACCTCTAAAATGAAGTATTAACAAAAATTATCAAAAATATTGATCCATATTTTTTTGCATATAAATAATTGACATTAAATTTTGGAAAAAAATACAATGAAAAACCTTTAAGAGTTATAACTCAAATAATTCCACACACCATTTTGTTACACTTATTGGTAAAATAACCTTCCACCTCTAAGTAAATTATCAAGATATAATTTTGTTAAAACATTATTTTCAATTGGTAATTTTGTAATTCCTTGACATCCGATATATCATTTTATTTACCAATTTTATATTTGCCATTTAATATGATTTAACCCTTCACTACTTAAAATTTTCTTATTTAGGATTTGAAATTATCAATAAGATCGATCCATTTTCCATTATTAAGTTATTTTCGTCATATGATCTACCATGGCTATAATTATAATTTTATTATTGACTACATAATCTTTTTATTGTAATAAGTTATCAACTTTCTTAAAAACCTACATAAGTCACTTTACTTTTTCTATAAATTACAGAAAACAAAAATCTGATCTTGCGGAAGTTTTCACTCAATTCTGTTCAAATTCCTCTCTTCAAATTGTTTTTTTTCATATTATCCCCTACCACTACAATTTTTCATCAAATTATCCTTTTACTAACCTTTTTACTATTATATATTACCTGAATAGATGATTTAATTTTTTCTAATATTTTAAAATATCATTTTACATGAAAAAGTTAGGAAGTAACTCTACCCATTTTCCATTTTTTAAGCCTTTTAATTTTAAAGTATTTGATTAAATTGTATATTTTCTATTCTTTTGAAACATATCTCCATTTTTCTGTTCATAAACTATTGTTGTATCTATCTTTTTCGTATACTCGAGCTTGACTTTTATATTAATTTCAATTACCTCCAATAATTCTCTATCAAATCCCTCCACAAATCTTACTTTTTACATTCTTTAATTTAGAGTCTTCATTTAATTTTTCTGCACTACCCACCAACATTTAAAATTTCTTCTCCTTTCCAAGTAGCGAATAGGTTGTTAATTTAATATTTCAAATAGATATTTATTCATAATATATCAAAGATTACAAGTTAGTATTTTTAATATCAACATTTTTATTCTATTTGATTTGATGTTTTATTCTAATAGAATTTCAATACCTTTTCAGTCCAATATATCTCGCTCTTGTAACT